AATAACTTAAATTTAACAATCAGCAAAACATATATAAATCTCAACTGAATTTCAGCCTATAATTTAACATGAAAATTTTAAAGTGCGATCATATGCCAAATACTCGTTTATATTTAAGCCAGAAAAGTTGTTCTACTCATCCAGTGCCAAATTCGATTTATGCTCATCTACAAAGGACATAAGAGGATGATTATGATGATAGTGGCGATGATTAATTAAAGTATTCGAACCTCGACATCGCCAATGATAGCAAAAGCTCGAACGAAGAATTCGAGAACGGAAAGCTGTTCATTGACGGTTTTCACAGCAATTTCTCGAACGACGGAGAGAGATTCAGATCTCATGAACTCTTTTAAGCTCAAGTGCGTTTCAATCAGTGATTTCACCTCTTTGGAGACGAGAACTGATTCGAGAATTCGAAGAGAATTGTCATCGAATCTGCAAACAACGGATGAGATTATCTGCAGGAAATCAAGAATGAAGATGGAGATTGATGGAGAGAGGAAATTAACCTTTTGTTCTTGACTTGTGAGCAGAAGAGAGAGATCTGAGCTACTCCAGAGTCTGGCATTTTGCCGGCCAATTGGCGGGTACGCTTCTGGCGTTTGGCTTTTATATTGATTTTGTTGAGGGAGGAGAAAATTTCATAAAAATATTCAAAAGAAAAGGTACGGACTATGGAGTAATTTAAATCCAATATATATATATATATATATATATTATGTTCAATAAAATTATTCGGAGCGCACCTTTTCTGTATGTCTAATAACATTAATTATTAAATAAGTGTTTTTTTAATGATTTCGAACTCACTTCACGTCAAAATATATAAAAAATATATATATTCGGAGTACTTAACTAACAATCTCTTTTTTATTGCTATATAAAAAGAGTTACACATTAAAAAGGTTGTTAATTAATATTTATATTGTTGAACAAAAATGTAATTTTTTTAAAATTGTGTATGAAAACTTTAGAACCATAAGTAGTTTATATACATAATTTTTACAAATATAAGTGATATATGTCTAGAAATAATTATATAACCTGAATTATACTATTATTTAAACTATTACATAAAAATAAATTTCTTAATATTAACCCTCGTTCCATAGCCATCATTCAAAATTCTTACCTTACGCTCTACAAGGTAAAATAAAAACCTCTTAAAAAACAATCATAAAAAATAAATAATCATATTTTTTTAATGGCTGAGTAGAATTTTTGGCCTCATGTAATAACTATCAGATCGCTCAAAAATAAATAAGAAAAATATTTTGTATGGCCCTAAATTATATTGGATAGGACAAAATTATCTTTAAGATAAAGCAAGACTTTAATGTTTGTGTGAGCCCTCTTCTCCTCCTCCTAATTTTGTAAATAATTGTATTTAAGTCTTACATTTAATAAAATTTTAATGTTAAGTAACGTAGAGAGTGAAATTATTTTGAGATTCCGGGAATTCTCCCTGAAACTCTCTGCAGCTAGCCGCTACCACGACCGCCGCCGCCACCATCGGAACAGCGAAAAAGAGAACAACTTCAATCAGAAACAAAATTAGGGAAACGGCGCCAGTGGCCGGACCATGGCCGGCCGCAATCACCTCCCGGCAGCATCACATCGTCATCTAATCAGCGAACACCACGTCACCCACCAACACCACCTCGAAGACCGCATCGCTATTCAACACCGGGAGATCCAATCGCTCCTCCTTGACAACCAACGCCTCACCGCCAACCATGTTGCTCTCAAGCAAGACCTATCGCGCGCACAACAAGAACTCCGGCACCTCTCCGCCGCCGCAGCCAATGTCAAAGCCGAGAGAGACGCTGAGGTGCGAGAGGTCTACGAGAGGTCCCTCAAGATGAATGCTGAAGTCCGTTCTATTGACGTGATGAAAGCAGAGCTCGCTCAGGTGCGGGATGATATACAGAAGTTTACCATGGATCGTCAGGAGTTAACGGAACAGTTGCAGGCAATCAACGGTGAGTTAGTGAAGGCTAAAGCAGATGTGAAGCAATTGCCAGAGATTGAGGCTGAGATTCAGAGAGTGCAGCAAGAAATTCAAAAAGGAAGGTAATTTCTCACTGATCCTTTTTGCTTTTTATTCTTTTCAAGTTATAATGAAATGGTGTTCTTTTAGTGGTAATTACCATCATTTGCGGTTCTGTAATGCTTCTTGAGATGGGTTTGACTTTGATAGATTGATTTCCTTAAATCCTGAATCATATGGTTTTGTGGCTTGGATTATGTCCAAGCCTGAAGCCTCTGTATCTGCCAAGTATATTAACACCTTCATAAACAATAAGGGGAAACAATACTCGTTTTATTGGGAACAGTAAGAAAGATTGAGAATACCGTTTTTGTTCTTTTTGCCATGAAAACATGAAGTATAGATTCCGTACCTCATGTTTATCCTCCCATATTCACTCTCTGTTTGTGAACTATCAAGATTGAGAATAGCAGTTGTTTTTGCTCTAGTAGGATGAGAGGATTTTAGGTGGACATATGGAGAAAGTCAAGATTTTTCGTGAAGATCATCAATGATATTAAATGTTGAAAGAAATATTCATGATTTTGATTGTTCAACTCGTTTGTTTAACATTTGAAAGGGTGTTGAGTTCCTATAGTTCAGTTTAGCATTAAGGCAACTGCCTGATTTTAATCCAGTTATCATAATCTCATGTTTCAAGCCTTCTGTCTTCAGAAGTACTATAGGCATTTCTAGACAGTTGGTCTAGGTTATCAGGTGACAACAATGATTTGCAAGCAAGACTATATTTTTACTGGTCCAACTATTGCTTTGAGGTTCCTTGTATTAATGGTGGAAGACTGTGATAAAGGGATGATCTAAAATTGCATGTAGAACCAATGGCTAATTTATGTTGAAAATATCTACTCCATAATGGTGAAATTTTCACAACAAGACATTTCTGGAACTGCATTTGAAGTCTATTTAACTTTTAGGGTTGATTTAGTTTGTTTCTTTATGCTATTATTACTCATCATTGGCTGAAACATTCTCAATCAATGAAAAACACTAAGAGAACCTGATGATAAGCAACTCTCTAACAATTTGTAATAATTATTGATTTAAATAGGGCTGCCATTGAAACTGAGAAGACAACGCGTGCTAGTAACCTTAATCAACGCCAAATATTGGAGAAAAACATAATCTTCGTGTCCCGTGAACTACAAAGACTACATGAAGACGTGGTTAATGCAGAGAAAAGAGCAATGGCTGCAGCTGCAGCTAATGTAGCAGCAAACCCTGGTACAATGTCCCTCACACAATCTCTTTCAAGCATCCAAAGAATCTTAGAGTGCCATCCGATTTACTTGTTCATTAATTTCTCCCTGCCATTCTCATATAGGTGTTGGATACGGTGTAAACTATGGACATCCTTATGGCATGCCTCAGGTATGTTTTGATACTGCCTCTTTTAAGTTTAGACTGAATGTACCTATCTCTTTTTAAAAATTTTTTTTTTTCCCAATCATGGATTGAATGTTAGAGACATAACAGCTACTTTACAGTAATTGAGTTTTGGCATGCAAGTTCTTTAGTTTCCGTGAATGATGTATTTATATTTTTTTATGATAGAAATGATAGTTGAGTGAATTCAAAAACCCATGTCCAGCCAGTATAGTCTTGAAATGCAGAATACTAATCTTGTTTATATTTTGCTAGAAATAGTGACTAATAGTATGAAGATAGATTGTAGAGTTAAGAGAATGATTTTATCTTTATTGGCAAAATCAGTCTTTATGAAGCAATGAGCTTTGTGTTTCAGGTCCAGGTTGATGGTTTTCAAGCGGGGGTTCAATCGGAGCAAACATCCTCCGATATGAAATTGGACGATGAAGGATCTCAAGCACAGGAATGATCAGGAGCACCTCGGCGCTGTGTCTTTAAGATTATATAGACTAGTCAGGTTCGGTGTTCAGCTAATTAACACATGCGATGAATCAACTGTCAACTGATATAACAATATTTTTTTTGCAAATTGAGAGCCCGTTATATCCTTAACGTTTGTTTTCATCTTTCGATTTTAGTTGTTAAAAATTTAACGGCACCAAATTAATATTAAATATATAAATTAGAAGATTCTTAATATTCATTACCAATCTTTAAAATTTTTACTTGAGAAGTTATCAATTTTATTTTTCAAAAAATAGAATCAAAACCTGGAAACACAAGGCAAACGGATTACCAAAAAGATTTATAGATTCAAAAGAGTGCGAATTTTAAACATTAGATTATCAGAAGATTACATTGTCTCTCAACCTTCTAAATTATTTTGATAATTTTGCAATAAGAATTTCAGAAATCTATTTGTTGCGCGTATCGGTAGATATGGTAGAGATGATCACAGCTGCCCAGTCTTATGCCATTAATTATTAAGAGGGAATATACATCCACATGCATAAAACGAAAAAAAGAAGGTTGCAAGAATCCATTGAGGAAAAAAATACATAAACAAGCATCGACTAAAAAAAGCTAATTGCTAAGCCTAACGAAACCAGCCCAAAACGTTACATCACTGACAGGATCAAGTTTGGTTAGAGCACATTTCTCAACAGACCATAGAACGAGTAATCACCATATCGTGTCCCCACAACTGAAAGCAGATTCAGCAAGCAGGCAAACCGGACAACTCTTCTCTGACAATCATTTTAACCAGTTATCTCACCCTAACTCGATGCATAACAGAACAAAGGCAATTTCTAAGCACTTCTCCATTTAGGTTCAGAGACGAATTACCATTGTAACAGGTCAAAACCTAAATACTATAATGAGATGAGCTGCCCAAACTCTTATCCTTTCACCGTTCAACAAGTTAATGAACTCCACAATCAACACTAAGGCCCCGCAGCCTGATATAGCAAAATTAAAGGACAGATTTCTCATATTTAGCACTTAAAACTATAATTATCTCCTAAGCCAAAATACATTGATATTGAGGCTAGACATAATATTCAGGACGTGCATTGCACATTATTCGCTCGCTTGGTCCACCACATGGTGTAATGCTGAAATGCTAGCAAACTCAAACCCAGTACCATATGTCAATCTCCAAACAAAATGAGAAACACATAATTAAGGAGCAGCACTCACCTGAAAATATCAACCTACCTTAGCAGCAAGCAATTTGGAGTTAATCCACTTGCCTCTATAAAAAGATTCACACAATTAAATCAATCCAAAGCCTAGAATGATATATCCCTCTAGTCAACCATAGAGAAGGAGAAGGAGAAAGGAGAAAAAGGGGTATTGCCCAAACAAGTGAACAACCTACCTCTTAGTCTCCTCCTGTTCAGAACAACCTGCCAATGGAACATAACTAAAACCCATTGACCAAAAATCTTAGTACATAAAATGCTTGGAGCCAAAAGCCTCAGTACGGACGGGCACGGTTCCCACCATAATGATGTCTGTCAGGCCCAGAACCTCCATCTCTATAACCATCGCGGCGCCTGTCACCACCACCTCCATAGCCACCTCTACCCCCACCACTGCTATAGAACAAATCATTCAGTTATGCAGCTTCCTCTAAACCCTCAACGCAATACAAATTATAAGAGGATTTTGAGCCATTGCAACAGCAACTAGATATCTAACTCAGGGTTAAAAATATTACCCATGCTCATACACCTTTGGTGCAGTCTTCTGCGCCATAGTAACACTGATTGTGGAGCCTCTCATAACATGATCTGAAAAATCAACCCATAAGTGAGATTTAAATTTGATGATAACATCACTTTAACTGAAAAAAAGTTCCTCAGTAAGTACCGTTAAAGAAACCGCCTGCAGAATGAGCAGCCTGAGGATCTTCATAAGATAAAACTGCATCGCCTTTCTGGTTCCCATTCTCATCCGTGTATATTTTAATATTCCATGGCCATTGATCTTTATAACCACGTTTCTGCTTGATTCTGCCAACCTAAGCAAGCAGACAATTATTATCACCTTTGTCAGACACTGCAAATCTCCGCAAAGAGTAAAAGGGATGAACTAAGAAGAAAATTTATATTTTAAAAACCTCAAGACAGTAGATATATGCTTTATAAATATAAAGAAAATGGAAACAATAATATCGAACTAAATTTCATGGAAATTATTATCACCTTTGTCAGAGACCACAAATCTCCCCCAAGAGTAAAAAGGATGAACTAAGAAGAAAATTTATATTTTAAAGACCTCAATGCAGTAGATATATGCTTTATGAACATAAAGAAAATGGAAACAACAATATTGAACTTAATGTCCATGAATTATATACTGTATCAAAAGGAAGATTGGAGTATTACTTGTCCAATGCCACCAAAAAGTTCCCTTAGTTCGTCTGCAGTAACATCTGGTGGCAAATTTGATATGTATATTCTTGTGTTGTCACATGAGTTGCCACAGTTGTCATCACACTGCTTGACTTTAGAGGCATCAATGGGAGGACCACCATAACCCCCTGCCTGATGTCGAGCACCACCAGAAACATATCCACCAGCAGGGCCAGCCTGACCATCACCATAACCACCATAAGATGGAGGGTATGACGTAGGTCCACCAGCATAGCTTGTCGGTGGAGGAACCGCATCCATTCCATAATTTGCGTTCCCAACATAAGCATTAGAAGCAGGTGGATAATTGCTACCACCAGCACCACCATATGATGGAGGTGCAGGAGGAGGAACTTGACCATATCCCCCATCTTCTCTTCCTTGACTGCCTCCATAAGATCTGCCTCCACTTCTATCATCATAGTTACCACCTCTACCTCCATCATAATTGTTATTTCTGCCACTATCATATCTGCTACCTCTACCCCCATCTCCCCTACCACCCCGAGTACCACCACCATGCCCCCCACCACTTCCTCCCCTGTTATAACCACCACCACCACCACGATCACCAGCGCCCGTAGGAAAAGGTGCACCACATTTGTTACACTCGACTCTTCTTGCAAAGTTCATGTTCCCACAACTAAATACAGATATACCAGTTTCAGTTTCATAGATTTGCACATGTAGGGAGATCAATCAAACAAAAAAAGGATTTGCACGTGTAGAGATTAAATAATTCAAACTTTGGTTCCTGATAAGTAAGAAGCTCCACAAAGCTTCCTCTGCATAGGGATCGAAAGAGAAAATATATTACCTAGGGTTAGGGCAAAGCCAATCGCCATCTCTGCCACTTCCACCGCGTCCCCCGCCTCTTCCGCCTCTGCCACCGCTGCGATCTCCGCCCTGATACCCTCCACCACCTAGTGCATAAACCGATCCAACCAATTTCAAAAAACAAAGAGAAAAAATCTCGTGAAATCTGGATGAAAGCTAAAACAAATAAGAGACAGTAACCCTAACCATAAATCTAAAATATATTGATCAATAACAAAGAAAAGCACCTCGATTTTGAGAATTTCCGCCGTATCCTCCGCTACCTCCTCTCCCGCCGCCACGGCCTCCATGACCTCCACCGCGACCACCACCAGAACCACCCCCGCCCCCGCCTCCGCCTCCATAAGCTCCGTAGCCCCCGCCACCGCTGCCTTCGTATCCTCCACCACCAACACCGTATGACGGCGGAGCACCGTCCCCAACGTCTTGACCATACATCCCCGCCATGACCTGGGACTGTTCCTCTTTTTCAGATCGATAGAGATAGAAGAGACTATGGTAACCAATACCGTAAATGCTGACGAAATATAGAGAGAGACTCGTGGATGAGATAATAGTTTCAGACCGACTTTGGGAAACACTATTATGATATTAATATTAATTGGACTAGTGTTTGACCGAATAAAACAGTCAGGTTGTAAAATAGTTTTTGGTATTAGTAACAATAAAAATTATTTTAGCTTTTTTTCTTCTTTTTTTTTTAGAATGTGAGCGCAAGTTTTGGGGACAAATTACCACGGAATCAACTACTCATTCTTCTGGTTTTTTTTTTTTTCCGGAAATAATTTAAATTTTTTAGGATATGCAAAAATTTAGCATGCCTAACCCGTATACTTACAATTGTAACGTAGGATCTCTTATTAAAATTGAAGGTAAAATTCTATGCTAAGTTTCTAAATTTATTTTAAATTTTTTATTAAATTTTTAAATTTTTATTAAAATAAATAAGTAACTAAACTGCATTTAAACTTTTGGATCGAGTGATATCAAGTTACGTTTAAGTGCATTCTCCTTCTTTTTGAACAACAATTCAAATCCAACCTCTTATAAAATTGTTTTAAAAAAAAAGTAACTAAACTTAACTATCTAGGTAATTTAATTTATTTTCTTTATAATAAATTTAATATCTATTTGTGTATTGTTTGTATAGATAAAGAATTTACAAGTTTTTACTTATATGTAAGTATTAATCTTATTCATGTAAATAAGGCACAATTTAACATAAAAATAAAGGTTAAATTGTTCAAATCAACAAATTCATAAGTTTATTTACTTTAATAAAAATTTAGAAATATAATCAATAATTTAGGATAAGTTTTGGGGTATCAACGTAGGATTTTGGCAAAGATAAATTACATAAAACGCATTTAAGTCATTGGTTTCAAATGCTAGTATTTATTACAGAAGAAAAAAAAAGAATTTGAGTCATAAAACTAATATTTAAGAAAATTAATTTTTTTAAATATACCAATATGATGTGGGGTGTGCTTTTAAAATCCCTTGAATAAGAATTGGTCTCAAAATACACAAAAATTAACATATAAGTGCTCTAACAGTCAACATAAAATATATATAAACAATTATCTTTTTTTTTATAGAAAAAATTGCTAGTTTTTTTTTAATCAAAAATGTTATAATTATAATATCAAATGGTATTATAAGTTTATAATATGATATGTTATTATATAATTAATTTATTTTATTTAAAAATCTATATATAATATTATATATATTCATATTTAATATCATATTAAACTTATAATCTTATATGATATTATAACTATACTATTTTCATCTCTTAAAAATTAAAGCACATAAGGCCCAACTCAAATGTCACTCATAAGAATCAGATATTTTGCCTACTCATTCCAACTTTACTCCAATGACATTTGTTCCATTTCAATTTGAAACAATCTAAAAGATCCAAACCAACAGCCAAACCAATGGACTTATTGCAGGGACTAAACGTAACCTTGGCCCAGTTTCAAATGTTAACACAAGCCTGGACCAACCTTAATTCAAATCTTGCGTAGCCCAAGCTCATTCATTTCGATCCCCCCCCCAAAAAAAAAAAAAAAACCAACAACAACAACAGTGATAACAACAACGACAACAAACCGAACACCTTGGAGGACAGGACCAGTTCTTCTTGTTCCCCAAGCCAAAACTCCCGAGTCCTAGTCTCTTCTTTATGACTCCTCTTTTGGGGACTCCAGATATGGCAGCAAACCCCTAAAAATTTTGCTCTTAATAGAAACGTACATATATTGTAGGGTGTGGTATTTGATGTCCACCCCAAAATTAATACCACAAGGAAGCT